ACGGGTTATATTTCGTGTTTGATCCAGTTGACCTTTTTTTGAGCACCGGTACCCTACTCCGTCTCATTATTTCTATTTGCAATTGCTCCTATTTACAATATTACTATATACACAATTCTATTCTAAGGATAATATCTTTTGTGGAAAAATTATTAAAAGGAAATATACAACGTGATAAAAACGATGTTCCCAGTTCTCTTTCAAAACCTTTCGAGAAACTTTCTTCATTTGTGGTCACAACCGTACTGGGTTCCGACTAGTCTTGTTCTGTTTTAATTCTGACTTAAAATACTTATTGTAATTTTACTCCAATTTTTATACCGTCCCAAGACTTCCAGTTACCGTCCCTACTCTTCTTTGTACCGTCCCAGGCTTCTTTCTACTGTCCCAAGAATGTTCGGTACTGTCCCAGTACTTTTTGTCAGTGTCCCAAGACCCCTGTCCCGAGAGTACTATCCCAGGACCACTGTCCCAAGACTGTCCCAAGACTACTGTCCCAAGACTAGTGTCCCAAGACTACTGTCCCAAGACTAGTGTCCCCAGGCTAGTGTCCCAAGACTACTGTCCCAAGACTACTGTCCTAAGGCTACTGTCCCAAGACTACTGTCCCAAGACTACTGTCCCAAGACTACTGTCCCAATGCTACTGTCCCAAGGCTAGTGTCCCAAGACTACTGTCCCAAGACTAGTGTCCCAAGGCTACTATCCCAAGACCAGTGTCCCAAGGCTACTGTCCCAAGACTACTGTCCCAAGGCTACTGTCCCAAGACCACTGTCCCAAGACCACTGTCCCAGGACCACTGTCCCAAGACCACTGTCCCAAGACCACTGTTCCAAGACCACTGTCCCAGGACCACTGTCCCAAGACCACTGTCCCAAGACCACTGTCCCAAGACTGTGCCGTCCCAAGACTGTACTGTCTCAAGGCTGTACTGTCCCAAGACTGTACCAAGACTGCTCTGGTCCAAGACTATCCCAGGACTGCACTGTCCCAAGACTGTCCCCAGACTGCACTGTCCCAAGACTTCTTTGGCACTGTCCCAAGACCTCTCTGGTACTGTCCCAAGACTTCTTTGGCACTGTCCCAAGACAGTTAACAAGTGTTTGAGCGGTGGGACCTCCTTCTTCTTCGTTGTAGGGACTTCTTGATTCACTGTACCTTAAACCACCACTCAAGCTCTAGTAAAAATTTCCCCAAAAACCCTCTCTTAGTGGCCAATTGCTGACCCCCCTTTTTTAGTTACCTCTTTTTCAATGTTCCAAGCAACTTGAAACCAAAACCTGTGCGCAGGTATCTTGTGATCACCTGTTCGTATAAAAACCAAACACAAATCCTTACCAAAATGCAACAAAAATCTAAGCAAGAAAAATAATAAAAACAAAGAGATGAACGTAAAAAATTCAAAGGTAACAAATGTCTACCTTCTATCGAAAAAATGTCTGGTACTTAATTGCCACGCGTTTTCCTCCCCCCTGCTAGCAATCTTATGGGGTATCACAAAAACTGTCTATGTCCGTTCCCCCCTACCGATCCGACCAGGGTACCTACCTTAACCTGATTTTAATTTTGGATATCCGCTTCCTATGACCAACGCGTGTAAATATCTAATGTAACTAAGTCGACGATGCCGAGCCATTAGTTACCCTAATGTGTCCCCCCTTTTTACAAATTATAACCACCAACCTCTAAATTAACCAGCCCCCCTTCTAACCTCCCCCCTTTTTAGCCCCCCTTCTTAAGCCTAAAATTACCTTAAGCGCCGGGTGCTAAACCTCTCAAGAGAAAACCGTAGAACTGTCTCCAGGCCTGCTCAAGTAAAAACGTTCCTCAAAACCGGGGGTTTTCGCTTATCCAATTTTACACTTATCTCCTATAATGTAATGTGGATTTTAACGATACCCGTTCTGCCCAACTTGAGAACTCGAGAACTGCCAAATCCTTCTTGGCTAATTTCCCACTCGACTGGTCACCTCTTCCAGTCCAGTCTCCTATTGGTTCAGCTCAAGTTCTCCTGAACCACTTTCCCACTCGGCTGGTCACCTCTTCCAGTCAAGTCTCCTATTGGTTCAGCTCAAGTGTTCCCGAACCACTTTCCCACTCGGCTGGTCACCTCTTCCAGTCAAGTCTCCTATTGGTTCAGCTCAAGTGCTCCTGAACCACTTTCCCACTCGGCTGGTCACCTCTTCCAGTCAAGTCTCCTTGTTGTCCAGCTAAGTTCCAAGCTATCTGAAAACCCTTGACAACGCCCCACACTCGGGCACTTTATTGAGGTTACTGGGTTAAATTGCTAGGTTGATCGAAACGATCGAACTTGTAAAACAGTATGGGTATACTATTTAATTAATATAAAGGTTTGATCCAACTAATCTGGTGTCAAAGTCACTGTCTTTTTTTAATTTATGGTTTTTGTTCCTTTTTCTATTCTTTTCTGGTTTTTGTTTTGCTTTTTGTCTTTTTGCTCGTGTTTTTGTCCCCCTAGTTGCCCCCTTTTACTCGGTTAGCTAAGCCTCGTTCGGAGAGCGTACCAGGAAGTTTTCTCGAGTTTTCTTAAAAAGCTATCACGGTACAACCGGAAGGTTTGCACGTTCGTGCCGAACCGTACCACCGGTACTCTAGAATGGGCATGCAGCCCGAAGCTGTCTCAAGTGGGTTCGACTCCGTAGTCTTGATGTCGTAAACACCCAGGAGCGCCATAAAAACACTATGTAACATTCGTCTACTGTAGTCACACATGAGACTCAAGAAAAATAGGCCCTATAACCATTGGCTCAAGAGTCAGGGACACTATCTCTTGTGTTTTTCTACCTCAAATCAGTCGGAGTCAATTCGGTTCGCTTGTGACATGAGACTACGACCCGTTACAGCTTAAAGGCTACTACCAAAATATCCCCCCACTCTAGAAATAAGAACGTCCCCATACTTAGGTCTCTAGATACCCAAAATACATTAACGCCGTTAAAAACCGGGTCGGAACAATCCGTTAAGTTACTTTTTATTAGACAGTGGAACTTTGTTCCATTTCAGATGGATCAACCTAAAACACGCCTTACCTCAACATAACAATCATAAAACACACTCTAGAAATTTAAATTGGGTACTCACATCGTAGCACGCTCAAGAACTGGGAGTAATTAAGTTAGTAAACAACTCGAGAATTAAATAATGTAACTAAATGAGTTTAATGTTTGTTAGTTTCAATAACAGGAACAAGTTTGAACTCTAGAGTATAGTTTCTCGTGAACCATTGGGACACTCAAGCTGTCCACCTTTCCATCGAAGGTTCACTCTAGTCCAGTTTGAATGATAATCCAGTCGAGCAACAATAGTCCAATTCTCGGGAATACGCTTCCTTCTGTTTCAGATAGGACAGCTCTACTCTAGTTTTATTGTGACGGAAATTGCGAATGGCAATTTCCTACTGCTTTATCTGGCAACTTTCCCGCGGTTGTTACTCGATCGTTCTGATTTCTCTTTTTCGGTTTTCAGTTATCGCGAGAGAATCGTGCATGACAGGCTCCATTCGAATTTTTGAAAAATCAAATTTCACTCCAAAATTAAGCGTTCTTGTTTTTCTCAAGGTCAAACTTCCAAATATGATCGACTGGCACAATTTGTTCGCAATTATTGCGGCTACTGGTTCGCGAAAATTGAAGGATTATTGGCCAAAAAATTTTGTGACGAATTGCTTCAATTCAATGCTTTATAGTTCAAACTGGGGATTCTTAGTTTTTTGACTATCCCTCCCGTTGACCCCCTGAAACTAACCTGACGTCCTCCTTTTTGGAATGTAGATGCGACATAATTTTCTTCATTTGAAGATATTTGACTCGAGGAGGTAAATTTGGATAAGCTCATTTCAAACAAAATCTGATAAAGTGAATTTTTAACAACAAAGACCAATTAGTCAAGATACGAAGTAATGTATAAAAAAATATGAATTTGTCAAGTTTTCAGTCAGTCGTTATCATGTCTGCGACAGGCATGAACATGTTTCACTCAGGTCTGATCATGTAAGATCCAGGTACGACCACGTCTGTAGAAAAATACGCATGCTCACTTGTGAACAGCCCTGCATAATGGGGGAACAGTCCTGAGAATATTCTCTCCCCTGCTAAATGGATGATCAGCCGTGAAACACAACAAAAATTTCAGTACGGGTGTGGACTAGATTATGCTCGGATTCGCTCTTCTAGTTTCTGATATGAGAGGTGGTGGCACTTGTTATTTATTACCACCCACTCCAAATCAATAACTGAAAACCAAATATAAGAACCAAGTTTTTTGTCCTAATTGTTCCGACCATTGAAAGTGGGAAGGAATTTTATATTCGGGTGTGTTTTAGTTTTTTCTTTTTATTTTCCACGCAAAATCCGCTATCACAAATAATTATTGGACTGGATTAAGTCAGATATCATATTAAAGCCTTTTTAATCGTGATTCAAACCACATAAAAAAATCCCAAAATTTTTTTCAAGTCGAAAAAAAACCTGTTTAAAATTCTTGATTTTTCCTCTTGCTTCGATTGGCGAAAGTCAGCGAACAGGCTTATTTATGCTTAATTTAGGTCGTTTACAATAGCTTAATTTTGCTCAATTTTAATTTTACTCGAGTAAATTTAGTTTTTGGAGATTTGTCATGCCATTTTGGTAATAAAAAATTCAAAAAGGCTAGTCAAAAATTTCTGCAAAAAAATGAAAAAAAAAATCGATTTTTTTTGTTTTTTTTTAGTTACGCTTCGTCGAAAACTGTTGTCCGGTTTGCCTATATTACTATGACTGTCGATTATGTCTAAAAATTAGTTTGATGTCAGATTCTTTTATCACACCACGCAGAAAAGCTACACTAATTTGAAAAAATAATATCCTAGATTTTTAAAGACTATGGTCTGAACATTCTGTTGTACTTGCACAGTAACCGGCTATCCTTATTATTATTTAGCATTGTTTCATACCACCATAAAATTAGCATTGCCTATACCTATAAAATAAGCACTGTTTCAGGCTGATGTTGGCAGACCAAGGTCTACCAGTAAAGAACTCAGCCAAGTTCGCCTGGAAGTGTCGCGACATTGAGGACCAGACGCTGGGCACTGAGCCGTCTATTCCAGATTTCATCGTCGCACAGGTGCAGTTAGAAATTGATCGAACTCTCAACGAAAATTAATCAATTTTGCCATGCAATCTGGTTGTTTTTTGCCTATTGTGATTAATTTTGTCCTAAAATCCTACATCTGTCTGTTAATTTTTTTGGATCACCCTAAATTGTTCTTAAAGCGCATGAGCTATGTTCATACAAGTTTTAATGCAATTTATTGGTTGTAGTTTTTCAAAAAGTGCTCAAAACTGTACTTTTTCCAAAGTTTTCGAAAGAAAGGGGTCGTTGCTGGGTTTTGGAGAGCTAGAAATCCTGCGCTTGCCAACTTCTGAACCATCCAACCTTCTCACCACTTGTATAGCCCTTTTGGTACTTTTTAATCACACTCATGTAGCCAACCATCCCTTAAACCATTTTAAAGGCGCTTTTGGCGACAATTTATACGAATTTAAAAACCAAAAAGTGCACTTAAACTTCGTTTTGGCCTGATTTTTTTTCAAGCTTAACTGCAGCGAAATTGATTCTTTCTTGTGTTTTTTGGACCCACTATGCGAGCCTCTTTTGAAGATTTTCTCAACTTGGGCGAGGCAAACAGTTAAAATTATCCTTCTCTTTTAATATAGGTGAACCAAGAAGCTCTCCAGGAACAAAAAAGACTGATTCAGACTGTGCAGAAGGCCGAAAAGAATATGAGCCACGCTTGAGAAATAGATTTATTGTCAATCTACTAGGGATCAATTGAACCAACAGCAAAAAGGGAGCGATCTAAAAAAACTACGATAGTTCAGACTATCAAGCTTAATCAAAAACAACTGAATTTATAGAGAACTATTTAAAATAATGAAGTTGAACCTGTAAACGGGCCTTGTAAAGATGTTTTTCGATTCGAAGTTATAATTTTTTATCTCTAACGAATCTGGTTTAAAATTTTTCAGAATGTTTTTTGCAGCTTTTATGTACACAAAAAGTGAAAACTACAATGACCGTGTTGTATTTTTTATTTTCTTTTCATTCGAATTAACCAACTTTTACTTTTCAATAAACTGAACAAGGATGAAGGCAAGGCCTTTATTTGTCCAGACCAAGATCAATGTTGTGCTGTGTTAAAACGATTTAATGGTTTCCATAAAAATCTGAGACCCAAAGCGGATACAGGGAGAAGTCTCACATCATTAAATGCTGCATCTTGTATAATTGCAATCATATTCCAAGGGGTAACACGACAATTACTAAAAAAAAGGATAATTAGACTTTAAACTAGAAGCTCGTGACCACGTTTTGCGAAACTCAAAATGCTTCAAGACTGCTCATATTTAGGTGAATGAATGTTCCGATTACCGCTCAAAAAATTATGTTTGTTTTTAGAAACTAATTTTTCTTCAATTTTTGTCTTGAGAATTTTCCAGCCCGCAATGTCAAATAATGAAGATCTGAATAAGTTTGTTTTCAAGATGAGAACAAATAATCACGTTGGAACAAAATTTATCCACAAAACAAAATCAATATGGAAGAACACCAAAAATATAACTTAGATGCTAGTGACTTCATGAGCAAACAATTTACACAACAATTTGTTTCCCTGCTACGGAAAATTTGAATCAAATATTTCTTGTCAGAAAGTGTCAAAAGTTTTTGTTGTTTTACAAAATTAACTAGTTCAATTCTGCAAGCAGCTCCATATAATAGTATATAATATTAAAATTTTGTTTTCTATTTCTTTTTGTAAATAATTTTCAATAGTTTTTGAGTAAAAGATTAAAACATTTGATACATGACAATCGCATTTCGAAAAGTTGGTTTAAAGGTTTTTTCTGAACGTGTGTTTTTATGAAACTAAGTTGTTCTCCTGAAAAAAAAGCCGAGGTAATCTGGTGATGTATTACTTTGCTGTTACTCAAGGCAAAAAGACCTTCGCCTTTTCGAAGATAAATTTTTTTGGAGCCAGCAACCAGAAAATTGAATGCTATTTTATCAATCTATTCCCATACCCAACGGACGCTGTGTTTCTAGATAGAAATTTTATGTAGATTATCTAGCCTAGTTTTTCGTATTTTCCGTGCAGAAGTGATATATTTCTTTTCTAGTTTAGAAATAAACAGTTTCTGGAATAACCAGAAATCAATTCACTGCTCAGCCGCAACGAGATAAACATGCTTCGAGTATACAAAATAACAGTAGCAATACAATGCAAACTTACACATGTCATAACAAATTTTATACTGATAAATGTAGTAATATGCATTAAGGCCTGTAGTATGGTGGATACAGCAAATGTCTAGAAATCAGAAGGGTTTCGAGCCCCACCAGAAGGTTTCTTTTTCTAGCTCGAAATAGCCTATATTTAGCTTATTTCTGATCAGAATTAATACGAGAAATAAAGAACTTAAAGAATATCCATGCTTTATTTAAACATTTCAGATAGAATTTCTGATCAGAATTTAGATTAGAAACAAAGTATTTCAGGTCAGAAATAAAGAATTTTCTCGGTACGGGTTAATCAAAGTTATTAATTTTCTAAACACATTTTTTTTTCTAGCAGTGAAGTGAAACAAGTAAATGTAAGATTTTTTCTGCATTCCTAGGAATAGAAAAATCAAAACAAATCGAAAAACTTAATTTTTTTTTCAAAAAAGTCAAATTATGACTCAAACCTCAATAAACTGGTTTCCTTTTTTTGTTTTATTATGAAACTTCTTTTGTGATTAATTTTTTAAATGTCAATTACACAGTCATTATTTTTTCCTCCAGATATTGATTTGAACCAATCGACTTGCTTGAATTTAATCCTCAGCTGCAATTATTTTCACTGTAGTGCAAAAAAGAATGAGGAACAAACAGAAGAGTTTTTAAATAGTTTAAAATTAACACAAATATGAAAGTTCTTTGTAATCTGCTGTTTTTATGGAAGCAAGAAAAGAACGCATGTGATTTTCGATAAATTAGTACATTAAACAAATTTTAAATATGTGATGCAAACAAAATTCACAAAGTAGGGTAAAGCAGTTAGAAGCAATTTGCACCGAAATAATTTTTATACACAGATCATCTAAAATCTATAATTTATGGACTAACCAAACATGAGCATGGATGATATAGATATGGGCAGTTCTGTGTAGTTTTTAAACTGGCAGTAGAAAAAAATTAGACATGCTAAGCCCTGGTGCACACGTGTTGATGCCTGGATCAGGTAAGTGCAGGTCATCTAGATAAAAGAGCAAATAGATTAAGCAAAATTCAGAGAATATTATACTGTGTATAAAGAGTAGTTCTTTTCTGTAAAAGTAGATTGTATGGCTACCAATTTTGGTCCACTCAGGAGGTCAGTGGTTGAACTCAGTAAGTTACGTTTTGGTTGAACTTCAGTAAGTTACCATAGCATCGATGCCCATAGGCAGTCAACTAAAATTGGTCTGAATTTAAAACCCCCCTGGCGTAAATATTCCTCTTTTTCTTTGAAAATCGGAACAATAAGATCGATCAATTTATATATTTTCTGAATCGGTTTAAATACATATTCTTCTTTTTAAACCTTTGTTTTAAGACATTTTTAAACGATATAATTCAAATTTCAAATGATTTAATTTCTTTTAAATTAAATTTTTGTCTCATATTCGTACTAATCACATTGTATTTATTATTATATAAAGATTTTTTAAAATCGTTTGACTCTCAAATAGAAAAAATAAATCCGAAATAAAATCAAGAAACAAGCTTTCCAGATGATTTTTTTTGTGATGGTGTTCAAACTGAGACAAGACTGCTCGTATCAGGGCGGAGCCCTGAATGTTCCGACTGCTTTTAAGTTTTATGGAGCAGTAATAACATAAAAAAATTAAATATAATAAAAAAAATGAATGTTTTTTTTCTAAAATTTGATTTTTTTAAAAGTACTAAGTGATAGATTTTGCTCCTATTAACATATCAATTATGACATATAAGCTTCCTTGAACCAATTTGGAACGATTTCTAAGACGGATTAAATCTCGCTTACGCGTTAATAATAGCGCGAAAAACATCGCGCGTTAATTGTCCCAAATTGGCCAAAATGGCAATCTTTAACCCCTTTAACTTTATGAAAAATGATCACAGCTGAAATAAATTTTCAAATTTAAGCTCAAGAGAACAATACCTTTCGAATGATATAAAAAAAGTTCCGTCAAAAATGGCCAGTTAAAAAGTCGAAATTTGTCTGAAGAAAAAAAACCCACCCCGAGCAAAAATATTCTGTTACTTTCGTATCGAAAGTCGGAACAATAAACGAACTATAACAAGACTGCTCGTATCAGGGCGAAGCCCTGACTGTTCCGACTGCATTTTAAGGTTTATGGAGCAGTTATAACATAAACAACATAAAAGAATTGAAAGAAAAAAATTTTCAAAATTTTTTTTTAAATGAAATCATCCCCCCACACTCACATTAAGTACAAAAGAATAGATTTTGCTCTTTGTAACAAATCAATTATGGCAAACAAGCTCCTTCAAACAATTTGGAACGATTTCCAAGACGGATTAAATCTCCGCTTACGCGTTAATAGCGCGAAATATATCGCACGTTAATTGTCCCAAATTGGCCAAAATGGCAATTTTTAAACCCCCATAACTTTACAAAAAATGATCACAGGTGAAATATCTTTTCAATTTTAAGCTCAAGACAACAATACCTTTTGAATGATATTTAAAAATTCCATCAAAAATGGCTAGTTAAAAAGTCGAAATTTGTCTGAAGAAAAAAAAAACCCACCTCGAGCACAAATATTCCATTACTTTCGTATCGAAAGTCGGAACAATAATTACAGAGCATTTCAAAAAATTTGATCTCATTGAGTTCTACAATTTTTTCGCTGATTTGCCTGCAGAATTTACGCTAATAAATACTGATTTTGACGACTGATTTACTTTTATTTTTCGGGAGTCTTTAGATCGCAAAATTATATTAAAAAATCCCCATAAAACTAATGGATTGTGGTAAGCAACTCTTCTCAATATACAGAACGTTGCTGTTATTCTTGAGTGCATATTTTTCTTGAGTACATTTTTGTGCTCAATTTTTGGCAGCGAAAAAGATTATAAAGTTAACATGAAATTGTTATGACTAACAAATTTTTCCTATTGTAACCCCAAAATTATAGCAACATGTGGACACTCGTAAAATTAATAAAGAACTGTATCCAACGAATTTGCATCCGATGACTTTATTTACAGATATTTGAGCTCACGGTTGTTCAGTTATGGAATTCGTAGAAAGAAGGAATAAGCCATAATCCCTCTATATTGAGTTCCAACGCCAAATGAGGCGCCTCAGTCATTAAATATTAAAAATAATTAGGACAAGCTCGTGAATGCAAGATTTTTTTAAGCCAGCCAAATTAAATAAATGTAGAATGATATTCATGAGTCACTCGTTTAAAAAACATTTTGTTGTACTGAAGGCTCGTTATTTGTTTGACTTTTAAATCGACACGCTTATCAAAAGATGATCGAATCGCGTGTTTCTCACTACTACTGAGCTGAACTTTTGGTCATTTCTGCTGTTTATAACTAGTTAATTCGACTTTAAACACATATCATCAATTTTTGATTTTTTTGTTCGAGCCATGTTAAACTAAATAACTTTTTAAGAACTGACTACTGACTTAAAACTGCATTTGATCGAAACACAGTTTATTTGAGTTGGTTTCTTTTTTTTTGGCCTGTAGCATTCACTCATCAATAAAATGGCAGGTTAATTTTGATGAAAAAATGTATACCTTTTTACAATATCTTTTTATGATGAACTGTAACAGAATTTTTTTTTTGAAAATTGTGAAATACAGTTATCCAGCAGTAATAAGATTTTTCTAACAATAGGGTAGGGCAAGGGCGGATTTAAAATTTTCTCTCGGGGGGAGACTAGGGTGGAATTTCAAAACAATTTCAAACATTTTGTCGACATTTTTAAAGTTGATTTTCCGAGGTCTCCCCAAGCACTACAAAGACCCTGTTTTGGCCAAATATTCTGTGTCAGAGTCAAAATTTTATCAAACGGGTCAAA